CTCTCACAAATAAATTGAGAAATTTACTAACAGGTCACTGAGACTGTGCTACTGGGATGAGTCTAGACTGCCTGCACAATCCTCAGTCAGTGACCTCAGATGCATTCACAGCTGAGTATTCAATTTTGAGGACAGGGCGTGAAGCGAGTAACACAAGCATCACCACCAGCAAACCTTTACTCTGACTATCATTCCAATGAGTATTCAGTAGGGAGCTGGATTACTAATTGCTCATCACTTTGGAACAACACCAGGACTTCAACCCTTGATAAACAGATAACTGTCTGTGCTAATGCTGCTTGTTTTCTGGACATGAAAGTGTGTTTTTGGAGCTGGCTCAACAAGGTGTCAGTGCACTAATGTTTGTCTGTAGCAAACCATGGTACAACAGTCCTTCACTCGACTGTGTATCTTTACAGACATATATTAAGCTCCATCTAACCCTAAATGGGCTGGGCTGACCTTCGCACCCTTTAGAACAAGTGTCTGCTATACTTCCTTCAGTCAGTGGCCAGACTTGACTCGAACTCCATTAATTTTTTAGAGGCGAGACAACAGCAGCTATGGCTTGTGGCTTTCCCCTACCCCCACTGTAGCTGCCATGCAGTCACTAATTTCGGGTTGTTTAATCTATCTTGCTGCCCAGATATGTGCAATTCACATGAAAGTGCCCCTGCAGTCCACAACCAAAACAGAGGCTCTGGTTCTCCCTTCTATAGCAACGTTTGAATGGAGATATAATTGGCATTGGCTATGGCACACGCATCATAGAGGGGGGGGGGGATAGGCTAATTCTGTCCACTTGCTGGAAACCAACCTTTCTTTGCTGCACCGCCAGGATGTGTCGGGTGCAAAGTTCGAGTAAGAAAAAACGCATTGGCTCGAACAAGACGGTCTGCATCGGGAGTTTCTATGACAACTGTTGCTGTTAGCTTTCTCCTCTTCTCTGATTTGTATGAGGTTTCCACCTAGAATCGCACTGCCTTACCAAGAGAACCAAATTCTCCGAGGGGCCCCATATCTGAGCCCCAAACTTCACCTGATGGACGGCTGGTTTTCCACCGAGTCAAAATGTTGCCACAGTTCTGCCACGACTGTATTCCAGTTTCAAAGCTGCACCACCATGAAATGTTGGGTGACATCAGGGCCAGACTATCAAAGCTGAGGATCAGTCATCATAACTCACCACTGAAAAGTAGCAACTACTGAAAATATAATCTAATAAAAAACAATAGCACTTATATAATTTATAAAGTAACAATCAACAAAATTACTTCTGAAGATCGAATCTAACAGGCAACAACAGAATTTACCAAAAGCCATAATTTATCAGTAAAGAAAAACAATTCTGAATGTATAGCCTACCAGAAAAAAAAAAGCAAAACGATTGCCCAATTACAGCCTCCAAGTGAACAATGGTTACTGCCATAACAGTCATTAATGACACTTACTAAAGCTATATCCTTCCAGTTAACAATAGTAGTTAATAAAGCATTCAACAAAAGCATTTCCTAATGGATAACATAATAATAATCAATAGTACTTATCGAAGCTATAACTTACTAGTTAAAACAAGCATTTACTGAAGATATGACATACCATTGAAGATCAACACTTAATGAAACCATAAAACAGCTTACTGAAGCTATAACCTATCAGTAAACAATATTACCTATCGAAATTGTTATCTACTAGTTCATAAAAGTACTTCCACAGGTAAAAATTAACAGTTAAAAAAGGCCTTTTCGAAGGACCAATGTTTCATTAAATAATAGCCTTTTTTCAACCATAAGTTATCAGCAAAAATATCACCTACCGAAGATATTATTTACTAGTCCACAAATGCACTTATAAAGGTTTAATTCAACAGTCTATATTGTTAGCATTTCTGAGGAAAAAATCTACCAGTTAATATAATCGTTCCGAAGGTATAACTTAACAGTCAGCAACAGAACCCACCGAAACTATAACCTTCCAGTGAAAAGAATGTTGCTGTTTAACAATTGTACTTATCGAAATTATAACATACTAATGAAAAATAGCACCTACTAAAGCTTTACCCTTTTATTCAACAACAGTACTGACCAAAGCTATAACCAACTAGTCAATAAAAGTAATTCCGAATGTATAACTTAACAGTCAACAATATAACTTACCAAGCTATAACCTTTCAGTCAATTGATCTAACAGTCAACAATGGAACTTACCAAAGATATAAATTCCTAGTCAACAAAAGCACTTTCGAAGATATAGCACAACAGTCAACAATAAAACTTACTGTTGCTATTATCTATGACTCAAAAAAGCATTTCTGAAGCTATAACATACCAGTCAACATTAGCACTCTTGAAATAAGAAATCTACCACTTAACCATGACACATATTGAAGCTATAATTTACCAGTCAGCAAAGTACTTTGGAAGATATATCCTCCTAGACAACAAAAACACATCTGAAGATATAACCTAAAAGTCAACATTAATAGTTACAAAAGATGTAACATACAAAATTACAAAAGTATTTTCGAAGGTTTACTCTACTAGTTAACAGTAGTATTTCCAACATTATACTTTATCAGTCTTCCAAACTACTTTTGAAGGTATAACACATGAGCGCTTTCAAAGGAATGACTAGCAGTAAACAAAAACATTTTCAGGGTTATAATTTAGCACTTGCCGAATCTATAACGTACCACCCAACAGAAAAAAAAAATTAAAGTTATAAATTACCAATAAATAATAGCTCCTCCGAAGCTATAATCTACCAGTCAATAATACTAATAGCGTTTCCTAAAGTACAGCCTGTAACACTGAACAATAGCACTAGCAGAAGGATAATAAATAATATACCAGCCAGCAAAAACACTAGAGAAGATTAACCAACCAGTTGAAAATAGCGTTTCTTAAGGCATGCATATAAGTCATGGACAGGCTTTATCAAGGCTATACTCTAACGGACAACATTAATATTTCTGAAGCTATAATCTATTAGTAAGCAATATCATTTATTGACTATATATTATTTAACACTGAACAATAGCATTTATTTAAATTATATGCTGAGTGTTACAACAGCACTTTTCAATGCTATAATATAATAGTCAACAATGAAAATTCCCGAAGCTATAATCTGAGGTTTAACATTACAACTTCCCAACACTTTGATTTAACAGCAGTATTCAAACACGTCAGAACTAATCTGTCTTCAACGCTTTCAATTACTTCTGATTATTTAGCAAAAAAATAAAAGTAAAAATCTCAATCGAAAAGACTGAATTATCTACCATGTTCGCTTATTTTCTAGGTAATCTTAACAAATATTTCCTTGTTTGCTTTGTGTCTGAACGAATTTGTCGAGTTTTGTGTGTTTCATTTTTATTATTGAATGAAGTTTGCACGAATTATTTAAAAATACATATCGAAGGAAGGTCATTTATAAAAGCAAAAAAATTAACAGTTATGAGTAGGGCTCGTTCACGTATGTTAACGAGGTGGAAAAGATCTTTTAATGGCGAACCGGAGGGGGGGGGGCGACATGCATGTAAAAAAAGATACATGAGAAAAGTTTGTCAATAAGTATATCCATAATAAATATCTGAAAGCTTTAAATGTTTAAACTGTTTTCATGATATATCGGAACAAGGCACTCTTCTTCACCAAAACCAGTACTGAGTACTACGTATGGCTAGTGTAATGAAACGTTAGCCATTACAACATATACGGGGTACTACATATGTCTAGTGTTGAAATATTGGCTACTAGAACCGTTAATGGGCACTACATATGTCTAGTCCGTTGAAACGTTAGCCAGAAGAACCAATACTGTGTACTGCGTATGTCTAGTGTTGAAATATTGGCTACTAGAATCGTTAATGGGCACTACATATGTCTAGTCTGTTGAAACGTTGGCCAGAAGAACCAATACTGTGTACTGCGTATGTGTACAGTGTAGGGTGTTGAAACGTTGGCCACTAGAACCAGTAATGGGCACTACGTATGTCTAGTGTATTGAAATGTAGAACCAATATCAATACTGCGTACTTCGTATGTCTATATATTGAAACGTCGTACACTCGTAATTAGTATTGAACAACGTATATCTATCTCTATTGCCGCAAAAACAAAAGAAAAGCGAACAGCACTACGAAACTTTTTGCACGGAACCAATACCAGGCAGGATTTATCGCTAGTTTGGCGAAATGTCGTATATTATACCTAACTCTAGGTGAGGCTTATTTTCCTTGTGACGAAATGTCTTACACTAGAACCAGTATTAGAAAGTTTGTGTATCAATGTGACGAAACGTTAGCCAATAAATCCTGTATTCAAAAGTACGTGTGTCTAATAGTAATATCCCGAAACTTCGTATACTTCAATCAGTATTGCCAGTTTGTTCAGTATCGCAAAATACGTATGTCAAATGTGGTGAAATGCCGTATATAGAACCAATAATGGTAAATAATTATCACCCTTATGTTGAAACGTCTGATACCACAACTAATACTTTTCAGTGTTTACCCACGTTTTGGTTAAATCTGGTATAATTTAGCAAACATTGGGCTATAATTTGAGGCGTAGGTTACACTATGTACTCTTAAAGGCTTTAACCGTGGATTATTCTGATTAAAATAACCCTCAAATTTCTGTGAGTTTACCAAGTCGAAGCTTTTCTCCTATTCTATTAAGTAAGATTTATAATCAAATAATTATAGACCTTAATAGCCACTATAAATTATCTAAATCACAGATAATTTATGTAAATTGTAAGCCTATTTCAGTATTTGAATTTAAACCAAATTGTACCTCCGTATGTAAAAATTATTGAACAAAAGTGATATGCCATTTAAACCAGAAAAAATAATGACTAACCTTTCCACGATTTTATCAATTTCCAGTTATTTGAATATAACTTTAAAAATAATTTATATATCCTGTTTCATTAGAAGTCTTTAAATAAATATTTTTTCTCAACAGTAAAGACACTTAGTTAAATAAACTTACCTGACAATAAAACTTCATTCAAAAACCGACGTCCAACTGAAAATATGCACTACAATTGTATGAAAAATAAAATATATCAGTAATATAACAGTTGTTTACTATCACAGATTTCTTGAAAAGAATCATAATAATATACTTATATATATATATATATATATATATATATATATTGAAGTACAAAAAGCATTCATACAAACTCAGCGAAGTCTCCGTTGCTCAAGTAAGTATAAATAAATACAAACATACATGTGGGTATTCATATTGTATGTACCATATTGTATAATATTTCATACCAATGTTCATATGGTGTGTTTTTCAGTTGATTGATTCGTACGGAACAGCTCATAACCAAATACTGTTTGGACAAGGCGTACTTCAAGGCCGTCAGTCTGCTACATTTAGTGTTTCCCAAAATGGGGGCTGCGGCCCCACTGGGGGTCGTGAAGCTTTTTCTGGGGGGGGGGCAAAAATGAGCAGAAAACAAAGATGCTGAATTAATTTTAATTTTAAATAAACAATAAACCGATAGAAATTATGTTTAATTAATTAAATGATACAGTGTGTCAAAAGGAGAAGTTATTGTTTTTACCACAGCACTACAACCACCATGCTAAAGTAGTGGGATGGGGAGGGGAGATTTTAAAATCACATTTTAAGGCATTTTTGTAGGTCGAGGGGGTCTCAAACCTTTTTATTCACATCAAGGGAGACTCAGAATAAAAGCGTTTGGGAACCACTGTGCTATAACAATAACCCTCAAATCCTACTATTCGATCAGCTAAGAATAGACAAAGAGTTGACAGTGGGTGCTGTTGATCTGTCTGAAAAATTCTAACGCTAAACACTGGGTTTCGATACCCGCGATAGGCACAGTACCGGTAACCCACTGTGTAGCTTTGTGCTTAACTACAAGCAAATGAAATACGCAGGTAGCCTTTGTGTAAATTTGTTCGAAATTCTAAAAGGAACAAACCAAACACATTGTACGATCCTAATTAGGAGATTTTCATTTTTGACACCTCAATAGAAGTTATCGGATGTAGACTTTCTTTAGGTATGAACTACTTACTCGATTGTTTATCTTCTGTCTATTCTACAGGTTCTCTTCAGGTATATAGTGCCTGATTCTTCATCACCTATATATTGTAGCGGTTTTCTTCAGGTATCCAGTGCTTGCTTCTTCATCTTCTATCGATTGTGGACATTTCCTTCAGGCATAAACCGCTTGATTTTTCATATTCTATTGATTTTGGAGGTTTTTTCAGACATGAACTTCCAACAGTTTCATCTTCCAGGACTACCAATGTGGCTCATTTTTTTAAAGATTATTCTGAAGCATCAGCTGCCTATGGTTTTTTACCTTCTACGGCTATTGCAGAGTTTTGCTACATACACCAATTGTTTGGAATATCAACATTTTTTTTCTATCTAGAATGTTTTCTACAGGCATAATGGCCAGATATTCTATTGTTTAATGTTTTATTTCGACAATCAATAGGATTTTTTCTATTGTAGAGGTTTTCTATAGGCCTGGTGATTAGGGCGCTCGTCTCAAAATATGTGGGTCGCGGGTTCGAATCCCCGTCACCAAACATTCTCGCCCTTTCAACAGTGGGGGAGTTATAATGTGACGATCAACCCAACTATTTGTTGATAAAAGAGTAGCCCAAGAGTTGGCGGTGAGTGGTGATGATTAGCCTTCTCCCTAGTCTATCACAGCTAAATTAGGAACGGCTAACGCAGATAGCCCTGGAGTAGCTTTGTGCGAAATTCAAAACACATAAAAAAAACAGGCTATATTCATAAAATCAAAAAAGAAAAGCAAAGAGCCCCCAAAATTATACCTCTACGGAACTCTTCTTCAGGTAGCCACATCAGCCAAATTCTTGGGTCTAACCTACGATTCTAAACTAGATTGAACTAAGCATATAAATGAAACTAGAAACAAAATCTGGCAATGAGCGAATTATGTACGACGTCTGACTGGCAACAACAGGGGCATTACAATTGAATACATACTTGAAATAATATAAAACAAACATACGTCCAGTGGTAGAGTATGCCTGCCAGCATGATTAAATGTAACCAAAGCATGCATACAAAAGATACAGACAAAATAGAAAATCCAATAATCACTAAAGCATACATAGATCCTAGATACACAAACACAACCTTCACAATAACACAAACATCCCCATGTTGTCAAACACTTCAAAATAGACCAATACATTACTTCATTACATCATTAAAAACGCTGAAAAACTTTATCATAAATGACGAAAATAAACCTAAGCACCTCTCACCACTAAATCTAGTACATTCTTCAAGTAACCTATGACCACCTACTACTGAGCAAGCCGGTAGCTAGATATAGTGTTAATTTTATCTTAAAAAGGGTTTTTATGTGTAAAAATAAGATTAGTGCTGTATGTTTAGTTGGTATGTATGGAACTGTTTGTGTGAGTAAAACTTTACACTGACAACGAACGAAAAAATAGAAATATACACCAGACAACACGAAAAATCTACGAAGTACATTCATGGACATGCGAATGAGCTATTGTAATGCACATACAGTAGCTGCATGATGTAATAATGGGTTTTTCTACCGAAGAATTAATGTGGGCTTCATCCACGACACTCACGAACCAAATCAATAGCCAAGAAGGGAGGTAGAGGATCCAGGGTGTACCTTATCCTCCCAGGTCACTTGACCAAACAACGATCAATGAAGAAGGAAAGCCAGCGAGTAAATCAGATAATTATAGACTTATACGTCTCACAAGTTAATTATGCAAAACTTATAGAACAAACAATCACAATTATATTACATTTATGAAACTGATAAATACACTATAGGAAATACAAAAATGATTAACAAATCAGACAGACTATTGATAATTTGATTAGCCTTACAGAAACAATCACGGAGAGCTTTAACAACAATAATTAATATTTAATGCGTATTAGAAGTTTCAATATGATAATGTTGTTCATGTATTACCATTTAATTTAAGGCCAAAGGGGAAAAAACAAATAAAAAAATATAAAACGCAAGTTTAACTGTGATCAACTCTATGAAAAAAAAAGAAAGAAACTGATTGTGTGAAATTTAATATATAATGATCAATATCAGTAACCTAATATTAAGAAGCACACAATTTCTCTACCAGAGGGCAAAGAAGTTAATACTTGTACTTCCTTACTTTAAAGAAGTGTAGAGTTCTGTGTTACGAGCTCACCTGGTCACTCTTTCCGTAAGGTATAGGTCTCCGAGAGCCATCTCTGTCGTGAATCAGCCTAGCATACATAGGGATCGCATGTCTCACAATTACCTCATCCTCCAATCCCACAGCTTTCAGCGAAGAGCGTCCCCTCACCGATAAAGCTAAGTTGATACTTTTTCCTGTCACATGCTTCATACGACGAATATCTAGAAGCCAAAGCGCTAAGTTTAACCTTACTTGTTTTTTTATGTAAACTCACTAGTGTAAAACTCAAAAAGAAGAAACTGTTAGTCAAAGTATCGTCAAGACATCTAATTACTGTTGCATTAAAAATAATCAAACATTGAACAAAAATATAAGAGACTCGTGAAGAGAATTCGGAAACTATAATCTTTTTATAATATTATAATATCTAATTACAAATACAGTCACTTCTGTTAGACTGAATTTAAAGCAATAAACAACAACAAGAACAAAAAACACCTTAGTGAAAATTCAACTCAGAAAACAATGACTCGTGTAGTTAATAATATGAACAATACGTGTTGACAAAAATGTGAGCTTAATGTTTGATTAGTGTTTCTTAATCATTTACATTAATAATGGTGTAAAGTAAAAGGATACATCTCGTACAAACATTTTAGATTACTTTTATTACTTATATGGATCACCGATTCTTTACAAATGTTCGAATATATCAGACGCTCTAATAACCGACATCATTTTTGTTCATTTATACAGATGTTATTGAGACAAATTATTTGATTTGCGAACTTTTTCTACAATTTTAACTCAACTCATCTGCATCTTTTTGTACATGTATAAAAATACTAGCTGAGATACCCGGCGTTGCACGGTGAAAATTTAGATTTGAAATGTATAGATCAGTATTTTTTTCAGCAAATGATTCTGTAAGTAGACAAAAGCTGTGATGCGAGAAATAAAAAAGCATTTAATCAAACAAAGCTTTATTTGAAATTAGATCGTGTTGAGCTTGTCTTGTTCTTTGACCCTGAAGTCGTACATTATGTTGCTCCTCTGTTTCTTGCTCTCTGTAAGTTATTTGTCTTAATTTTTTGTGCTTGATGTCTGGTTTGATGTTGCTCAGAAGTTTCTTGTCGTCTATATCCAGCTTGCCTTGATGATTCTGACTGAACTCTGGCTTTGTGCTGTTCAACAGTTTCTTGCTGTTTTTGAGTAGCCTGCCTTTCAGCTTGAGCTCGAAATCTAACTTTACGTTGTTCCAAAGTCTCTTCCTGTATTTGAGCAGCCTGTCTTGCAGCTTGTGCTTGAAGTCTTTGATTGCGTTCTTCTTCTGTTTCAGCTGCTCTTTGTGCTTGCATTCTTTTAGCGGCAGAATACTTTCCATAGAAAAGGCGTTTCTTGGTTTGCATAATCACCTGTATCCCTGAACAGTAATTTGCAATTCACAAAGTTACTAAATCACTTATTAAACCACTTAGTACTATTTAAAGAAAACTGTTTTTAAAAATACTGAATTGACAGCAAGGTGATCTGAGTGTCTCCCGCCATAACGCTTTCTATGTGCAAAATGTGCTTATGTTTGTATGTTTATTACAAAAAATGGCACAATGATCATTAATTGTCAATTTCGTCATTAAATATTACACCAAAT